TGATTATAGTTTTGGTTTGTTTCAGAGGATTACTCTACAATGGCAAGAACAATATGCAAGCTTGGGGCCTCATTGTGCTGCTGATTTCCAAAGCTGCCGGACATTCTGCAGATATTCCTGACATGGAACAAGACAAGGCAGCAGGTACTTAATTTATCTTTTAAATATTCCGTGTGCATATTAGGATTTATTCCAGAATTTCAATAGTGGGTGTTTTTTTTTGTCGTGTTTAACTGAATGTTGAGTTGTTTATTGTCACTTAACTTGCTCCCTGGAAGCGTTTACTTAGATCTATTGATAGATTGCTTTAAATTGCAATTTACCACTCGGAAATTCCTAGTTAATTGTTTGACAAAAATTGTTTTCAGAAGCTTAGCATTTAGTTTTATAAAACAATTCTTGCGACCGCTAGACGGTAAAACTAAGCTCCATTCCACTTTCTTTGACTTCAGGTGTTCTACATAGCCAGAGGGCACTAGCTGAAGTAACAGAAATGATCAGAACAAGTCACTTGGTGCATAAAGGCTTGGTTAATTTGCAGCCACCAAATAATGTAGACGCAAGCGGCGATATGATGTTTGGAAATAAAATCGCTCTACTAAGTGGCGACTATTTACTAAGTAATAGGTATCTATCGCATTAAACCATTTAATGCATTTTAACCGAGCCTCCTTTATTGCACATTACAGCAGTATAGAATTGGCCAACCTCAGAAACCAGGAGTTAGTAGAACTGATGAGTTCGGCAGTGAGAGATCTAACGGAGGCCGAGTTTGTTGGGCCCCGAGACCGACAGAATAATCCGTTGCCGGCCAAACCAAAAGCGAAACAAGTGGAGTACAAACAGTTTATAGAAAATAATTTGGAGCCACTAATTGTGAGTGAGGCGTTAGGAAATGCGCAGGCTGAGTGGACGTTGAGGAACGTTTTAAATGCTGGTAAGTTGTTTTAAGTACCAACTGCCAAGATTACTACTGGAAACGTTACTTCTTTAGGTTCGCTCCTTGGAAAATCTTGTCAAGGTACATTGAAACTAGCGGGTCATTCGGAGGACCTACAAGAAAAGGGTTATCTATTCGGAAAACATTTAGCCTTAGCCTGGCAGGCATGTCTAGATAGGGAACCCTTTCAACCTGGTAAGAGATTAGTTTTTTGTCTGATCAGTTTTTATATCCAAGATCAAGTTATTCAACACAAATGTTGTAGCTTTAATTTGCTTCTTATTACAGGCTCCAGTGGGTCTTTCAGTCTGGTTTGCGCTCCTCTGATGTTCACTCTACAAAATAAACCGGAACTTTACGAACATATTGAGAAAGGACTCGAAAACGTCGACGAGGTCGACTATGATCTGCTTAGGGCGGAGGTAAGTATCTACTTTTTTGATCAATTTTACTCCGATACCAATAAAATGTTATTTTTTCGAATAAAATCGGTTAATGCTCAAGTACTATTACGCGCCTATTGACAAACAAATTGCAAACATTTTTCATAAAAGTATTTTTAAACAAACTAACAAAACAGTTAAATATCAGTGCATTTGTTTTTCGATTCTTTGCAATATTTTGTCATTCACTGAGTTTCTATGAACTGTTGAACTATCATTCTCTTCGCTGCGATTTGATGTTGCTACACTCCAAGAATATGATTTGTAGGTTTTGGAAGGGCCAGGGTTAGAACTAACAAAAAAACTTCAAAAGGAACATTCGCAGGCAGCACTCAAAGTACTGAACGAACTTCCAGCTTCAGATGCAAGGACAGCCTTGGCTAATATTATTGCTGCCGTGCAAGAATCGTAGACCTCCGGTAAGTTTTACCGCATTTATCTCAAACCAAGTAAATGATTGCGATATTTCGTTTTTTTTTTTAGTTTTGCACTGCATCTTTTTTTAGTTTTGTTTGCGGGAATGTTGGGATTTGAGCGTTTATTTGAAAAGTTTTATCCGGCGTAACTTCGTCACCAAACTATTTACTGTGATAAGTGCTTTTACCATATTTTATAGCAATGTTCCTAGCTTTTTTGGCATTGCATTGTAAATTTTTAATTATTTAAGTGATACCAGAATAAATGCATACATTTTTTATTCGTGGGAATGGGAGAAATAAATATATTTTTGTACATTTTACATATGCATATACAATAAAAATTAATTGTGTCTTGGGTGGATTTTAGATAATACTTTAGGATAGGAACAATTCAGAAGCAACCTGTTATGGCCAAATCAAAAACTTATTAATTTCTGATAAAACATTTGAAATTTATACTTAAAATGGCTTTGTCCAATATTTATTGCACATATCACAGTGTAAAGATTGGAAAATAACAAACTCGTATTGTACACATTTCAGATTATCAGTACTCAAAATTTACAGTTACAATGAACATTATAAAACCTTTAATATATTTACTAAAGCTCGTTTTGCGTCCGTTGCTCGGAATTCGTCTAATATATCAAAACAGTTCTTTACAAAATTTTGCTTTAATTGGCGAGTCATTTCAAGCCCAGGTCCCGATTGCACCAATTCCCTTATCCTATCATAGTCACAGTTCCGTACGTCTTCAGAGCCTTTTAGAATTTCTGCGTAGAAATCAGGATCATGTTGTAAATGGAACAAGATCGGAGCTAAAATTATGGATCTGTAAAGATTTTCGATTTCGATTCACTCGGCTGAGTTTTTATTAATTACCCGATATCAGATCAAATGGTTTTTTGCACCCTTCCTCGAAACATTCCAAGTCGAAATACGCTTGCCATCCTAGAGCCATGTTTCTTCCAAATAGGTATCCCAGTTTTTGAAATTCCTCAGGATGATTAGCTAATTTTAAAGCAGCTTGGCAACTTTTTGCTAACAAGCTACCACTTCCTGAAATTTGAATTACGATTTTTCTAGAATTGCAGTGAGTCTGTACTTCGTGTAATTATTGTACCTAAAAAGTGTCTAAGAGTCCATTCGGCTTTGGCATTTCCAAGAACTTCCTTCACTTTTAACGGAGCAGTTCCAAATTCATTAGGAATTATTATTTCGGATGACTCCTCGAGCGGTTTAGCCGGTAAAGGTCTGTTTTGWTTATCTCGRGGGCCTATAAATTCGGCYTCCACTAAATCCCTTAAACACATAGATACCAATTCGTTTACTTCTTGGTTTTTGAGTCCTGCTAATTCTTTAAAACTGTTGCTAAGTAAATAATCMCCTAAAATTATATATTAAGTTAGATARCACGGYTATATTAGTTGCAAAGCTGAAGATACCTGTCAGCAAGCTCAGAGTATTTCCAAAGTTCAGATCTGAGTATTCTTCTACATCGTTAGTGTTAATATTTAAGACACTGTTATGCAGAATATTACTGGTTCTGATCATTTCAGTAACTTCTGCAAGCACTCTTTGACTATGTAAAATTCCTGTAAACCACTTCAGTTTATCGCGGTTATTCATTACGATTATTAGAAATGAAAAGTGACTTTTATTTCGTGAAGAAACTTTTCAGATTATACAGGGTGAGTTTTATTCGATGACCAGTACAGGGATCTTAGAATGGGCAAATAATTGTAGTTTTGAATGTTCTACTCGAAACCAATTTAATTTTTCTAAAATTTGACAGCTGTCAAAAGATTTGGGAAAAACTTATTTATGGTAAATTTTTAAATTACTCCTAGTTGCGTTGATATTAATTTGACAGGAAAACATTCAATAGAAAACTTGTAGGAAATTGAATTTCAAATAAAATGGCATAAGACATTTCTCCAAAATCACTGTCATTTCTGACATATGACAGAAATTTGCGTTTTTTTAAATGGCAACCATACTTGATTATTGCTTTACCGAATAGAGCATTTTATTACGATTTCTGTGATATATCACATCGTTACGATTTTTTGAAAAATAAAGTGTCTGCGAACAATTTATACTTTTTGTTAATTAACATAACATTGTTTCCATAGCAACAAATAATGACATCTTTCAATTATTGACATTCAAGTTCAAATTCAACTTAGAAATCTAAGTTAGTTTCATTGTAAAAATGAATCATCCCAATCAAGAAATGCGCTACATGATTGAAACCTACATTAGATGTGATAAAAATGCTAGACGATCCTCTGATTACTATTTTGAGATGTATTTTGACCCTCGTCAACCGTGAAAATTTGGGCACTTATGGAAGTTTTACGCAGCCAAGAAATAAAGATAAAGTAATACATGAAGCTGTGGAGATTAATGTCTTGACCATTGTAAGCCAGAATCCACATATTTCAACCAGAGAGATAGCAGCAGAATTCAGGACTTCCCGAAGCACCGTGATGAGAGTTTTAAAAAAATACAAATTCCATCCGTATAAATTATTAGTATCCTAAACTTCACATACTGAGGCATCCAATTSACTTAGATAATATTGTGGACCGATGAAACTCGATTTACAAAGTGTGGTATGTTTAATTGACACAATGAACATCTTTGGAATCAAAAAGATCCCCACCACGTTGAGCAAAGGAGACCACAATTTAAATTTGGGTTTATCCTTTGGAGCGGAATGGTAGGTTCAAAAATTATTGGACCCTTCATTTTTGAAGGCACCTTAAATTGGAGTCAGTATCTTCGATTCCTTCGGAATAACCTGAATTTTTGTTGGACGACTTAGATTTAGAAACATGGCGTAATGTGCAATGGTTTCAATATGAAGGCGCTCCTCCGCAATTTTTCCCAAGTGCGGAATCACCTGGACGTAACATTTCCGAGGGCTTGGATTGGACGAAACGGTTCTATTTTATGGCCACCTCGATCACCGGATCTTTCACCTTTGGATTTCTTTTTGTGGGGAGCGATAAAAAACACAGTTTACAAAAACAAATATTGCAATTTAAATGCACTTAAAGAAAATATTGATGGTCGGTCCGCAAGAAAAGCAACTTATTCAGTTTTAAAGAGTTGCAATGTTTGCATTGACAAAAATGGTGGACTTTTTGAAAATGTATATACAGGGTGATTCAAAATTGGCGTCATTCCTCTGGAGGTGCTGTCTGGCGCTGTTATAGGAGTACAGAAAAAATAGTAAAAGAAATTAATTGTTATTAAAAACTGAGAAATTTACAAAAAACTATATCAACTATATTAACATTGCGCAAATACCTGTTGCTTCGTAATTATTAAAAACTCCGGTAACCATGGAATTATACAGAGTGACCATAAGATAGACAAGGATAAACTGTAAATTCAACAAGATTCGTTGACTGCGCAACGTACTTTCGAAATGTCAACATGTTCTCATAATCTCGAATTCTGCGGGGTTTGGTGTTTACATACATAATCCATACAACACCAAACATTTCCTATAGAAAAAAGCTATCGACCCAATCGGTCTTTCTCCCCTTGGGTTTTGAAAATGTTTTACAATAAAATTACATTTTCTAGAGTTAAATGTTAATTATTATTGGTATGATTTGATTTTATAATAAACACTTTAAATGAGCAGCCGTCTTAATTAAAATAATAAGTAGTTGTCAAAATAAATACTCAAGCATAATGTTATTATTTGTTACTATGGAAACAATGCTGTCTTATACTATTTTCCATGGCTAATTTCGATCAACTAAATTCAAAAAGTATAAATTGTTCGCAGACACTTTATTTTCGAAAAAATCCTAACGATGTGATATATCACAGAAATCGTAATAAAATGCTCTATCTGTAAAGCAATAATCAAGTATAGGTTGCCATTTAAAAAAACTCAAATTGGTGTCATATGTCAAAAATGACAGTGATTTTGGAGAAATGTCTTATGCCATTTTGTTTGAAATTCAATTTCCTACAAGTTTTCTAATTAATGTTTTCCTGTGCAATTAGTATCAACGGAACTAGGAGTAATTTAAAAATTCACCATAAATAAGTTTTTCCCAAATATCTCTTGACAGCTGTCAAATTTTAGAAACATTAAATTGGTTTTGAGTAGAGCATTCAAAACTAAAGACAATTCTTTGTCCATTGAACCTTTTTCGTAACGGCTATAATTTCGAAGATCCTTGTCCTAGTCATCGAAAAAACTCACCCTGTATACTTAATAGGGCGTTCAAATGGGCAGCAGTTTAGGTGAACATTTCTCAATCTCAAATGTGGTGATTTTCACTACTTTTTACTGTTGTACTTAGTACCTGCTGTAACATCCTTGTCCATCTCGGAGAAATGCTTGCCTAAACCTCCGGCTTTGGAAATTAATAACACTATCAGACCCCAGGTTGGTGTTCGATCACCAATGATTAAATCCCTAAAATCAACACCCATAATTTTAAGAATAATTCGTAAGTTTAGCGTAAATTATTCAAAGCAGCGGATACAGTGTGAGTGATGAAGCGTTATTTTCCTTGCTCCTCAGCTGGGAAGCTTTAAGGGGCAGGTTGTTCATAGTTAGTGCAACCGATCGGTGTCTAGTGCGTTTGAAAAATTAGGTTTTGAGTGTTTAGTTATTCACCTGGCAGTGGTGAGTAGAGGATGATTGGTGCCAATCAGTTTTCGAATATGATTAGCAACATTGGCAGCCTCATCATTTAGGAGCCATCGAAGGCTCAAGAACGAGGTGGGATATCCCACGATTTTTTCAGCTTCATTCACAGCTTTTCTACAAACAGTTTCTTCTTTTGACTTCGTTACTAAACTCCTTGTTACCAGGTAAGACATTGTTTGGCGAGCAAGTTGTGTTGAATGGCGCCCATATTTTAATGGGATCATTCTAGTTTCCAAAAATTTACAAAATTTTCCARTAACTCAGGTKTGCCTATYAMWTTTTTTGAATATAAAACAAACTGTTGTCTTTATCAAAAAAGATAAAATTTKACTAGGTTATGTCGGGTTACGTAAACCTCACAGAACACACCCCCAGGGGGGATATTTTGTGGTAAACATTGGYAGTTCCACAWATCGCTTATTCTGTGGGCGCAACAAACCGTCTCGAATTCACACTTYGATCGATCAAACAGAACATTTCTTTACTTTTGCATTATTTGGCGGGCGATTTGTAGTTATTTCAGAATCTCCAACATTTTGGTTTAAGTTCAAATTGAATTTCAGGAATCTCGTAATGTTCTTCAATTAGGTATTAATCAATTAGGGTATTAATTGAAACATCACCAAACACTACCAGGATTATAAGGAGCATTATAAAATTCTTGAAATACTATTGGAACTAACACTCTACTTTCAAATAAAAGAAAAAAAACCAAGCAAATTTAAATCCCAATAACTATTATTGACGCAACATGATACCTTCACACAGCATATCAAGTTGTAAATTTTTTATAAAATTCCGTCCCTCTTAATCAGGCGAGCAAAGGAGAGCTTTCCCAAAAATCATGACTTGGTACGAATGTGGATCATCTGCCCTTTAGGCCGCTTTTTCACAACAAATCAAGCTGCACGAACTCAAATTTATATAAAATTTGAGCAAAGTTTAGTATTCCGT